ATCGAAGAAAACAAGGCAACACTGCGGTAGCGCTCGCCTAGCTCGCGCTGGTGCAGCAAGCTCACACCCATCTCCTCCCATACATACACGAGGTCGGCACTCACGTGCTGTGCGACATACGCACGCCTCGCAACATCATCCGCCATGTCTTATGGTGCCGCACGTACTGCACCCTAGTGTGGCAATGTCCTTTCAGCCACAAGCTTTCCAAGAAACAAGCATGTCCGCCCTACGTCCAAAGCACTGGAGACCAAGAGCAAACGAACTTCAAGATTTTCCCCTTTCAGTGAAACGTGCTCTCAGCCGTCCGTTGACACATCCCCCGGATCTTCGACCTCCGTACTAGAGGACGAACCAGAAGAAGACAATTCACGAGAGGCTGCAGCATCATCATGTGAGACTTTCTTCCAACATGTTTGGCACCATGCATCGGCGCCTGCCTCTTCCACGCTATTAAAGCCCTAAGCGCAATGGACATTCCAAGGCATGATGCCACACTTATCCTTGGCATGCAAACGCCGAAACTTGCTCTTCCTAGAGACAGAGACCCAATAGGGGCACTCAGACACGTCCTGTGCCTGCCCCTCGTCATCTTCGACCGCCACCTCCAAGGCAGCATCATCTTCTGCGTCCTCTGTCTCGAGCTCATAATCTAAAGGAAACCCCAGCAAGAGAGCGCGATGCCCTTCGTCGTTGGTCCTCCAAACACGGTGCTTGCTCGCCCCTCGGGCGAAACTCACACCTCTGGCATTAGCATACTCTTGCAGCTCGCTCAAGAGAGGAAGCTCGTCCACTCCCGAGTGTCCTTGAACCAAGCCCTCAACTACATGCATTTGCACACGATGCACCACTTCTCGTGACGTGACAATGTACTCGTTGCTCTCATGGGCCCCGGCCTGCCAGCGCCCCAGAAAGTCCCGATCTGGCTTAGGGACCCCCAGCGTGGCCGCCCAAGACGGCAGCCAATGCCTAGCAGAATGCCCTGACCAATAAGGAAGGAGTTCCGGCACAAGGAGCTCCACGTCGCCGCACTTCCAGCTCCTATCGCCCCGCAGCGGTACCAAGAGCTGCGACAGAACCTTCTTAATGCAGACATTCAACATCTCCGGAGATAAATGCTTTCTGACTCCCGCACTCCAGTCAGCCGTGGGAAATGGAAGAAAATACTGCCGCTCCCAAAAAATCTCAGACTGGTGGAACAACAAGAAGCCCTCCTGCAACCAATCATTCCCCGAGAGCGAGACCTCCCGGCTCACATACACAGGGACCTCGCGCGCTCGCCTGCCAGGACCTGTGGTCTTGGTGCGCCTCAAAACACCAGCCAATCCACTGGCCGTCAAGGTCATCCTCCCTGGATCGAGCCACTGCACATCATCTGCCCTCATGGCCATCCAGTGCTGTAGCAAGATTACCCAAGCCAAAACCCTGGCAAACAAGGGGTACGATTTCTCCATGACACAAACTTCCAGTGCAATGAGCATAGCAACAGTGTAAAGCTTTGCAGGGCGCCGCGGCGCTGCGCGACTCTGCAACTCCTCAGTAATCGACTTGGAAGTGGCCTTGACGGTCTCGTCGACAGAAAACCTGTCCTTCACTGAGACACGCCCCACGGATTCCAAAACTGAAAGCGCAGCCAGAAGGTCCCCAGGAACACTGAAGCCACAACCATCCTGGACCCGCTCCTCCAGGTAATCTGTAATATCTGCAACCACAGCCGGCCAAGTTCGTCCGCGAACCGATTCTAGCCAGGCCCGGAAATGCTTGAATGCCCTAGCCCGATTCCTCAAGGTCTTAGCCCGGCGCGTTCCGAACACCCGGCGCCAGGCTTGCCGGCGATCCGCTGAACCTTCAATAAGCGAGACCACAGGGAGTTGGGCTTCAACAACGAACGTGCTGAGCACTTCCACCCAACGATCTCGCTCACGAGTCTCTAGAATATCTGGGTCCTCCTCAACGGACAGTAAGGCCTTTCCCAATCCAGATTTCCCATGCTTTCTCTTAAATGGCACCAAGGCATTCGCAGTGACTGCAAAAGTTTCTTGCATGCTGGTAGCGTCAGGAGGTGCAGTCGGCAGACGGGGCTTCTTTAACCCAGCGTTTACCACGGATTGAGCAACCTTCCGCTTGGCACGTAGTTTACCCTGCAGCTCTTGCAATCTAGCTCGTAGCAAAGCCCCTTGCAGCATGTCACCACCAGAGATAACACCAAGCACATCTTCAAAGCCCTCGGCACTCTCAAGCAGCTCCAAGGGGACCAAGACCTGTGCATACCTCTGTCGGAGCCGCCCGATCCATTCCGAAGGGAAAGCACCCCAGCTTGCTAAATCCTTGCCG